TATAGAAAAATTAAGAAATTGATATTTCAGTGACTATAACTGATAAATATTTTGCATGTTACTAAGATTGGTATTTCAAATTTTTTAAAATAGATTTATACAATATTTCATAAAAAAAAGTGGCCTCCACAGATTTTCCACTGATCACAAATAGAGTTAGTGTTTGTTATTTTTCACCTGTTTTGTTAAATCAAGATGGGCAAAAGAAAGGCAAAAAAAGAAAAGAGTACAACTTAAAGTGAAAGCAACTTGTATCCATGGTGGTTTGAGTGATTACACTGAATATCATATTGCACAATGTACTGAGTTTGCCATATCATGTACATCTTTAAGTTTCAGCAAGTACGATCGTCAGGGGGATCCATGACTTATAGCACAAACTTTTATTCATATTAAGTAAACATATTAAGGGAAAGTACACACAGACCTGCATGATGGTTTGCTCTTCTTTCTTGATAGAGTCCATGATGGACCTTATTATAGGGTTCAGTTCAGAGGGAAGTTTATTCAAGAAGATCAATGTGCTTGCAACACTTGCCTGTACTCTGTAAAAAAGGTAATGAGAGCAAATCAACTTTAAAAAAAGCAGCATTTCTTTATTTTGTAAGACACCAAATCAGAAAATAAGCTCTATGTGAATGGATGGGGAAAACATACAAACAATTTTTCCTTAATTTTAATTGATTAAAAACTCACTTTATTTTAAACACTTATGCACTAGTTAATCATGGAATTAAGTTTTATCAATTTCAAAGCCTGCCAAACTTGCACTTTTACAAAACACTCAACTTGGAAGAAATGACTCTATGTTTTCAAACACAAGTTTTCCCAATGCCAAGGAACCACAGAGAGAAGCAGAATTCAACACAATTAAACCTACAGTGTGTAGATCATCCTACCATTATCCTCATATCGAAACTGAAGCTAAACAAATCAGCTAACATTGATAGCAGTTGCAAACAACACGTACCTAATATGTAGCTTTTGGTATTCTGATTGTAATTGTCCTATGGTTGCCATTAAATGCCTCCTCTTTATCTCTGCACCCTAAATATAAATTGTTTAATGCTATGTGAAAAGAAAAGCATTGCCTTAAAAAACAAGGCAAGGAAAACTCTGAGACCTGGCTATTCCTTGAGAACAGGATTAAAATGTCAGTGGCTTCTGAGCATTGAAAAATGTGTGGAAATAAATTGCCAAGTCCATGGAGAAATCATTCTACCCCAACAACCCCAACAACCACAACAGGTCTCCCTCAAGTCCCATAAAATTGTATAATGTAACTTTGTGCAAAATGCACTTAGGAAGCATGAGTAAAAAATGTAAAAATAGTTTCAAATGGCACAAACCTTAAGAGCCTGTGGTAAAATTTTTTTAAAAACTTCCATGAAGATATCTGAGGCTAGCTTAACAGCATTGTCAACAGTATAGAAGCTTAAGATTGAAACAAGAGTGATTCATTATTGATCTCACCTTAAATGAACATTTAAAAGGCAAGCAGTAAAAAGTATATAAACAATTCCTAAATGAATATACCTTTACCTTTCGCAACCTAGGCATTGTCATTAAGATGAAAACTTCTAGATACCTTTCAACAGCTGCTGACAAATAATTATATGTAGTACTTTACCATGGGCAAATTGTACCATGATAGCTCAATGTACATTGTCTCAGTCAAGAGCACTGTGTATATGTTCATAAGATGTATAAATCTAAGTCAGCTATTCCTTACCCTGGCTGGATACCAACTGAGGCATTAATTCCTGTCTCTCACAATGCATTCAACAAGCCCTGAGAAAAGTAAACACTAAATAAGCACATACATAATATTATACAAGTTTCTGATCATGTTCCCCTCCAAACAAGTCAGCTGTGATCCACACTCAAAAATTACACTCTGAAATTCCTGCATTTTGTACAAAACTATTTACCCTCTTTAGAATAATTATGTCCTACTTAAAATTGCTTTGAAAAGAATAACACCAGTCCCTTAACTTCTTTTGTTGGTGTACAGTAAATCTTGCAAGAAGGTCTTTGCTTCTCATCTGACAATCTGTTCACAGTCTTGTGTTGAGCATAGCTATTGCATCATCCACAATCTATTCAGATAGAATATTGTTAAACTGTGCAGTATTTTCCTCAGGACAACTGCATCTCTAATAATGCAGAACTATTGGAATGCAGAAAATAAGAAATAAATCACTCAGTTTTACTGCAAAGGTCATCTGGAATTGGACACGACATTTCCCTATGATTGCTTCCTTTCATAGATTATTTAGAACACAAACACAATAATTCAGAGTCTACATTATCTTTTGATAGCAGAGGAAGGGTCAAATTCAAAGTGGAATCCAATAAAGTCAATTATTAAAAGATTAGTTCCCCTTTTTGGCCCAGTTTTCACATTAACTGTAAATCCTCCAACTGGTGTCAAGGAACTAAATTTTCAATTCAGGATATGACAGAGGATGCTTGTTTCAAGGAGACCCTTAATCAAGGTGGGCGAGGGAGGGAGGAAATAACTTACTGCAGGGTAAATTTGCAAGGTTAGATGAGAGTAATTTAAGTTCACCAAAGGTAATATAAGCCCATTGTTGTGACTCTGTACTTGTCAATGGATGAGGGAGTGGTGATTTGATTTTACATTTGAAACCTTCGTTTCGTCAAAAAAATACTTTAAGAATCACTTTTTCCCAACTTAACGGAATAACGTGTCAGACCGAGATGTAACAACTTAACTTGTGTCACACTTACAGAAATTCTACACAGCTATCCCAAACTTATTCTTTTAATTTTCGCTCTCTTATGTCTATACACACATGACTTTGTAGTAATTTGCAGCTCGCTTTACCTAAAAGAACGTAAAACTGAAACATAAATGCAGATTGTAGGAGTAAAATGAGAGGTTTAAGTTTCTTTTTTGTCATTTTTTCAGTGTACATTAAATACATTCACCTCACGTCGCGTTCTGTCATGCATAATTCGCGCAAGAAACTAGTGGCACGCAGGAGCATGTTATGAAGTAGACTTTTATTGCCATTAACTTTGATTTATACACCAAAATCAGATGAAGTTAAGCTTTGCTAATTTGCTCAGTACACAGGTGGAGTACATACATGAACGATTCCCTGAGAAACGAAAAACGATCTCATAGCCACGACAACTAACATTAACACTTCGTATGAAAACTCAAAACTGAAAAATAGATAACTCTGGGTATGAAAGACTTATCTGGAGGTATGAGCTGTTCCCAAATAGTCCTTAAATTTCTGTCTTAAGGGTCCTTCTCGCTTAATAAGCTCGATCGATGGTCAGCGCTTGGTAACCACCCTATCTCCGAAATATGGTTGCGCGGGCTCAACGTTTGGCTTCCGTAAACAGTGCGCCAAATCCGTCAACGGTTCTCGATAGTCATTGCCTTGTTTCGATCTCAAATACTGTGTAATGAGGGATATTTCAGCGGCCAGTAGTGCTCTCAGCACTAAAGTTAACCTTACGTTAGGAGGGCATTTGTTTAAGGAACTGAATGAATACTGCTTGATCGGACTTCACCTTCATTGGAAAGATGCTGTTGACAAAGATGTTACAGGGGAGTACACCTCAGCAACTGATTCAACCCTATTCATACAGCTGATGCAGAGAAAACAATGACAAAATAATATGGGTAAATTGCCATTGGGAATGATAACAGATTTGTTTTATATAGTATGGGTCTTAATTTATGATAGAATTCTGTTTAAAAATGTCCAATTCAGCTTAAATTCATATCGCCTTTGGTTTGAGTATGTTTTGAGTTAATTGTTGAAGTGCTATAAAAAGACAGTGTAGTGAATTACATGTTTTCATCCATTCAATGAAGATCTGATTGTATAAACCCTTTCACTCCCAAATCAAATTATAATTCTCGTTATTGTCAACCATACAATTCTTATGTTAGTTCAGATAATTTAGCATTAGATCAACTACTTATCCCCAAATTCATATTTTTCTTTATGGTGGTCACTTATCTGGTTGATATTGTATTGATATTGTAAGGAGAAATTCACTCTTGGTCACTCATGGGAGTTGAGTGGTTAATCCCTTAGTTTACTTGAGAATGAGGTGGCTGTTTTGATAGAAAATGTAAAATTAAAAAAGAAATTTTGGATATACACTGGTAATAAGGTAGAAGAAGTTGACATCGTCAGAGCTTGAAAGAGTTGAAGAGTTTTGACCCATAACACTTCCTTTTTAAATTCATTAAATCTCTTTGTGTGAAACTATCTATGAATGAAGAGATTGAGGCAAACTATGTTTCTGGTATCAGACTGCAAATTCTAAACTTGCAACTAAGCCGCACTTTAAAGTGTTAATTTAGCACTGTTAGCTGAGAAATCTTTGCCAGGAAATACATGGGAGTTAACAAAGAATAGTTATACCTGTAATTGTCAGTGCTAAAATGCAAGTCATGCTTAATATTTTGTACTAACTTAACAAACTGGGAACATTTTTTGCCTCCAAGCAGTCCATGTGATTGGATTTTTAAGCAAATTGTGTCATACCTACAGCAGTTTTTAAAAAATCACAGACAACTGGAAAAATACAACAGCATTATGAAATAAGTTTAAAAAAAACTTGACAGCAGTTCGTAGCCAGAATAATTTTTGAATAATTAAACCATTCTATCATTTGACCATCCTTTCTTTCTCTTTCTACCTTTCTTCTTCCATTCTGCCTCCTGCCGGGGGCCATACACTGGACCGTGCGCCGTTTACTGGTCTTTGTTGGCACCTTTTCATATGGCCCTCTTACATCCTTTTTTGATTTTTTCACCAAAGCGCACACCAGGTCCCACAAGTTGTAGCATAATTATATTTACTCAATATATGTTTCACCCTGTCCTCCCCTCAGGTGTCCAATCAGTGTATTTCATGGCACCAGGCCCCACAAGTTGTAGTAATGATGACAACTGCACCTTGTACTCAGGTGTCCAATCAGTGTATGGCGTTAGTTGGTGACAACTGCGTGGTACCTACGATAGCTAGGTCTCAGCTATGTCCAGTAATCTTACAGTGATCAATATGTCCCAGATATTTTCTATAAGGTGGGTACCAAGCATGAACTCCATTGCAACAAAACTAAGTCTCACATGGTCAAATTTTTTGTTTGCTTGTTTATTTGTGTTGTATTTTTACAGACTGCTGACTCGTACAGTAATGAATTGACTTTTTTAGCTCACCCAACGCCTATAGAATATCTGTTAGTTCAGGTGTGTACATTTTACTTTTTTGGTGTATTTTTGTTTTTGGATTGTTTTCCTCTATTTGGCTTACTATTGAATGAATAACATTAGTTACTTAAAACAAGAAGCACTTAAACATGTAAGGAAACATAATGTGGCGTGTTTTTTTGTTAGTTTTCTTGTTTAGATCTCTTTGTTTTTGTGTTTGTTCCATTTTGTTGTTTGTCTTTGTTGGTTTGTTAAATCCTCTTTTTTTTTTTAACCCTTTAACTCCCAGATCAAATTTGTAATTCTCCTTACTGTCAACCATGCAATTCTTATAATGTTAGTTCAGAGAATGTAGGATTGGATCAACTAATTAACCCAAAATTGATATTTTTCGTTATTCTCATTACTTGTTTGCTTGATATTGTACTAATAGTCTAAGAGGAAATTCTGCCTAGGTCACTAGTTAGACTTAAAGGGTTAATCTGTGATTTGCTTTTCCTCCAGGTGCTGACTGCTCTTCCCGTAGAACCTCAGTTTACTTTCTCCAGCCAAAGTCAGGGAGAACCTTTCCCACCAGAGAACTGCTCAAGTATGGGAGAAGGTCAGGTAAAAACATTACGAGCAGTTTTAATACTGCAAAGGTATCCCACATGTGGTTGAAGTTATAAAAACCCAGAGAATATGGTCCAACATTTTAACTGTTTAGTGCTGATTGGTGAGGAGATACAGAGAGGTTTCCATCAAAGCCAGTCACCGGTGGTCTACCGCCATATATAAGACCTCTGCCATCTGTTTAGCCTGTCTGTGAGTTTTGTCTTAAGCCTCTTTTTCGGGCACAGCTGACTGTAACAACATGGGCAGCCGCTTGTGGATAAATATTTTGAAACACCTGGAAAGGTGTTGAGAGCACAGTACTTTGACTGTTTACATCACAAAGTATCCAACCATTGCTATCCACTGTTGCTATCTAAATTATATTGTGATACAGGACGTGTGTTCAAAAAGAGCAGCAAAAATGGACAAGAACATCTCGCAACAAGCCATATCTGAGTTGCTTGGAGCATTGTTATAAATTGTGGGCCTATTTGCTATAACCATATACTTGCAGAGGTGTTTAGTTTCATAATAAAGGTATTTTTCAACTGTTGTTTGCTATGTGAGGTAAAAATTGTACTTAGCTCTGTACTTTGGTGCAATTCATGTAACTGTGTTTTTTTCTTTTCACTTGTGTGCAGGATTTTCACACTTTAGTGAGATACTTAAACCAGTTCCCTCCTGGTGAATTCCTACCTGCTATGTCCAATTTTCATCTCCTAGTTTTTCTGGCAACTTCCAACATCCTTCCTTTAAAGGTAATGTTCATTTGTTGGCTTCAAGCCTGTGATGAGATCACAGCTAATGAACTGCAAAGAGATGCTTTGTAGCCATAATCTGGTTTCGGCGTCAAATCAATAAACAGCAAAGAGAAGCTTTTAATTCTTTCTTGAATAAACCCAGGGCCAGGTTGTAAGTGTGAAATCTGATTTCAGATCTGAAAGTTTTTGAAGAAAATTCAGTCGAATTTCTTTTTGTCTAGAATATGACTATTTGACGCTGTAAAAAGAACACAGAAAATTATTCCAAAAATGCTTTTGAACAAAGGAAAAAAGAAATACAGATTGCAATTTAACCTTGGGTTAGTGCTAATCAGCTCTTGAACAACTGGGCCCAGAACCATAGCAACTGCTAAGGCAAGGGGAAGATACAAAGGCAACATAATAAGCCAGTATGAACTGGAGTGATGAACAAAGTGACAAGCTCTAAGCAGGAGGAGGATGTGGCTGTAAACTTGATCAGAGGATTCTGACCACTCACAATGTAGCATAACCCTTTACACCCTAACATCAGTATGCATATTCTCCATACTGTTCTGTAAACATTTCCTAAGATGCTGACATGGAGAATTTGTCCAACAATCAAGAGCTTCTTAAGTAGGTGATCAGCTCCTTTATTCTCCTGACCTTAATGTTTGATTCAGGCGTGATATGGTAAGGAGAAATTAGATGCCAGTCACTCTCAGAGGTTCAAGGGTAAAAAAGCCTGAATCAATCTGTAGCTTGCACAACGGAGGGAAAAATCAGCCAGGCTGGATTCAATTACTTCTTCTTGTACTAAATTTATGTAGAGGTTTTCATGTCTCACTTCTGTTGATTATTTGTGTTGTGGCAGGATCACTTAGGAGATCTGTGTACGGCAATCAGAAACAAAGATGTTGAATTGGCTTGGCGCTGGAGTAAAAGTGAACAGTGGTGCAAAGTGATACAACTTATGCAAGCTGCAAAGGGTAAAATGGTTCCCTCAATATCTTTTTTCTTTCCTGTTATTTTCTGTCCCTCTTTTTTTTTTTTTTTTTTTTTTTTTTAAGTTTTTTTTATTGAATTCTCCCAACCTCCAGAGAGAGGGTCCATATGCTGGTATTGATTGGTTAAGTTTTTTTTTTTACTAGTTCAACAACTATTTTTTTTACAGTACAATTTTAATAAAATTGGAACCAAGCGCCTGCAGTATATTCTTTTTTTTTGTTTTTATAAAAGTAAATTCCATATTGTTATTTTATTTTCCCTTTACAAATTAATATATCTTATCAGGCATCTATGCTTACGGTTAAAATATTCCCTCCCCAGCCCCCTCACCAGAGCCACAAGGATCAGGGGAGGTGGACATGGTTGATACGTCCCATTCCCCCAGTGGTGCAGGCTGGTCGTGCAAGCACTGTACGTTTATGAACCAACACAGACACGAGAACTGTGATATGTGTGGCTTGCCTCAACACTGAGAAAACTGATTAAAAGTTTGTTGGAAATCATTATTGCTAAAAGTCAAGATGAAACTGCAGGACAGACAACAAGACACAGAATTCAGATAATTGTCTAGTTCGGCTCCGCTGAACATATTTTGGCTTTTTGAGAAGTTCCGCTAAGAACGTTTCTATTTTATCGCCAGCGGAATTGTTAACGACACCATTGAAAATACATCTCTACTTCTCTACACCACATTTAACTGAAAAATAATTTCTGATACCAGCAGGCGAAACAGCGCGTGCTGAAACCAATGAAGATATTTCAGACGTTGATCTACTGGTGTGGTGCTTTATACAGTGAATGAAAGGGTGTGACAGAGATGTTTTGTGGAACCAAATAAAGCAGTCATTGTTTCTGAGATTTACAAGCTGTACTCACAATTTAGAACATGCTTTACGATAGAGCATTTAAAGATTATCAAGTCCTTTGAATAGTAAGGATGAAGGTGTGGTCTTTCCTATTTTATCGTTTTTTGCTTCTTCATAAAAAAACCCACGAAATCGAATTTCTTCAGATAGATAGGAGATAGATAGGAGGCAGTTCAGATCTCGGTTTCATAAATGTTAGCACACAAACGGACTTTTTTTCTCGTTTTTTCGACTTGAGTAGAAAAATGAAATTGAGAACAGAATGGAATAAATATCACCGCACCTGACATTGATAAATTATGTTTAAAACGAATTTTTAGGTGATACCAAGAATTGATGACTAAAGTTATCCCACTCGCCCGTCTCCGATTAGTTTTTTAAAGGGGTGTGCTCCGATGAAAATTGAATATTGGAACATAGAGATAAAAAAAGGGAAAAAAGCGTCTCACCTTAGCCGAGGCAAGCTGGAATAGGTCCGGTGTCGGGCTATCTTGGGTCTCGTTATTAGTGCCAATCCACAAAATTAATGGAGCACATACTCCACCTCAAGGGTGTTCTAAACTGCTCTAGTTCCCCCTTCCACTGTGTTGCTCAGACAGGAAACCTGTAAAATTTGATTTGGAAACGAATTTGCTTTACGATATGGCATGAAAAAAACAATGACCTGGTCTATCTTGGGAGTGACCATCGGCTTTAAAAGATTCAAGATTATGCGGTCTTACGCAAGGGGGAGGGAGCGAGGAAAGGAGTGGCTTGCTTTTTCAAACTGCTTTTTTCGCGGCACTCTCGCTCCGCGTGTCCGCCTCGCGCTTTCTTCCGCCTGTTCTGCAGTCCACGTCATCTTACGTCAAAGATATCCATGGTTACTGTAGTTCTAGTCTTGCTACGTCACGCTATCCGACAAATCACACGACCAAAGCGATTTGAAAACCATCAGAAGCCAAATTTCACAAAAAACCGTGACAAGTGGAGCTAGCGCTCTGTGATTAATGTGTTCAGTAGAAATATAATCTCCATACAAGCGTTAAGTTGAGACGGAATTGAAACTATTGATAGCGCACAGCAAAAGGTTAGTGTTTCGAAACTGAAAGTGTGAGCTTATTGAATACCCCTCCTTGAAATTGTCTGCGTCATTTCGTGATGAAATCCGCTCGAATATGGGATTTCATTTTAGGCCACAAATGGACAAACCTTTATCTCAATTAATTTATTTCTATTCTGATTATTTCTGAGACATCGCAGTCTGACTTTAGCTAAATGAACGCATGTTTCAGGGAGCTGATAACCAGGTGAAAACGTTGTGCTTCCATGACCGCAAACTAATTGCAAGTGGACCTCCGAGCGAGAGCTTCAAGTCAACCTTTGGAGGTAAGAGTTTGTAGATTTTATCCCATATTGAGTTGAGTTTCAGTTTGAGCACTTTCTTTCGGTAAATTACATCTTGTATTAAACACATCAATGTACGACCTCAAGTGAATCTACGCTGCGCTAGCAAGCAGTTTACCTTCCCCATTTTCTTTCGGTGGGTTGGGGTCGGCTGCACACAGGCTAAATTAGGCACGAAACTTCAAAAGTACGTTCCTAAGGGTGAAGAAGATCGCTCATAGTCGAATGATCGATTAAATTTTACCAAGTTTGTCGAAATTATTCGAATAAAGTCGGGTCATGTGGTTGTGCATCGATTAAAATCGAAGTCCTGATAAAGTCCTGATGCACGACAGATCACTTACAAGCACGACTCGATTAGAAACTAAAGAAAATAACATTAAGATTTGGATCACACAGGAGTGTTAACCAATTCAGTATTCAACGTCTGTGAAAAAATCGCTGTGGTAATTTTTAGCTTATGTCAAGTTAACGGTAGTCTCATCTTAGCTTCGTGCGTAGAATCTCCACAGCACCTCGTGCTATTTTGTATTCCCCGTTCATGCTGTTTTGTGCTTCCCTTGTTTATCTGTTGCCACTTCGATATCGTGAGTCTCTACCCACATTATATATGACAATCGAATTGTGAAATAAGTTATATGTGAACAATTTATATCCTGAATGTAAAAGGATAGTTGTCGTGAGGACATAAAACTTATCGGTGATGAACATTAAACCAGTATGTTGTGTCTTTATTCTAAGGCCTCTTCTGTCAGATTATTTGATGATTTAAGTTGGTTACCTTTTTACGAGGAGGCTACAATTTCCAAACGTCTAATTGCATTTAAGAGACTACCGGGAGAACCGCTTACGTATATTACTCGCCTTTTAACACGTAAAAGTGATCTTCTCTCTCGTAACACTTGGTATGCAAACTATAACTTAGTATGCCGAAAGTTTAGATGGCGGTAAAACGTTCAATGTTACCACATGTCAACCATGGAACAGTTTCCTTATCACCTTACGACAAAAGACATCAGTACAAAGTTTTAAAAAGGCAATTTTTTCTAGGAAACCAACACAGTTTGAATCATTTTATAGTTTAACAGGTTCCTTTTTACAGTTTCCTGACTCTTTTATTTAATCCTTGAGATCTACTTTATCTTAGGTTTGATCATAGGATTTTTGATTTCATTTATTTAACTGCTCTTCTATTTCTGTAATAATGTATTTATTTTTACTCATAAATATCTATATTCGCATAAGTATTATCAAGTTTATTGTACAAGGGCCACAAGTTTATATGCCTTTTGGCTACTAAGTGCTACTCTCTTCAAATAAAGAGTTTACTTACTTACTTACTCACTTACTTTGATGTTTATCAATGTCATCGATAGGAGTTTTTGCAAAAAATCGGCTTCGGTTGACAATTATGTCTCAAGATAATAACCTACGTATTCAGTAATTTCCTATAAAAATCAGTTCATCATACTGAAATATTATCGAAGACTAAAAACGCTCTGCTCTGACATAGAGTAAACATGATTCGATAGAATTTATTTTAAGAATTTTGCTACAGGTTAAACAACACTGAAGTGTAAAGGAGTATGATCATATACATTGTCTTGGTGGAATTCTGAATCCAAAGAAATTCTTTTTTTCCCGGATGCGATCAACCTTTATCTTCTCCTTACATTATTTCAATATTTGAATACATTGTAAAACACGCTGGTGATTGGAATTAGGAAGCTATCAGCCAAAAGGCCGGAATGCTGCCCTTACCGGCTAGGAGGAGAAGTTTTACTCGGATCTCTGTAGGAAAAGGCCAATTTGATTTTCACACTACGTGATACATATCTTCACGATCACGGCCTTATGTCACGCTTTTTTTAAGTCACGCAAAAGCAGGTTTGAAAAACATTTGCAAGCAATTTTAAAAGAGAAATCAGTGATCCAGAGGTATTTAAAACTAGTTTGATGTAATACCCTTGCTGGCCTTGAGATGTAACGGACAATTTTGGAAGTGTGGATAAAAAGTTGATATATTAAATCGAACATCAAACTTACTGAAAATTTTGTCTGGGTCAATTGATTTTTTCAATCGGATATCTTATTCATTCTACCAGTGCTGAGCCAGGGAGTCTGACGAACAAGCAGCAACCAAATTTCTTGGTTAAAGAGTCATTGACCTTTGCTCAATTAACGATCCGGTATTTCTTCATGGCCACCGCTGCAGCACCTTCGTTTCATTCGACAAAAGAGACAACCAATTACGCCCGCTTATGCAGGCTTCTGGTGGGTGTCAGTGCACATATCTTGAGAGAGACATTTGACAAAAGGCGTCCAACAGGAGACCTGCACACAGTTTTGTCAAATCCTCCAGTTCATGCAGTCTTAAAATCACTTCGAAAGAAAAGAATAGTCAAGTCCTTCACAATGGGACAAACTGTACCCCTCCATCAAGTCTTCAGTTTCATCAAAGAATTTCGATATCACACTACTGAATGTCCTGCTGAGGACCATTTGTGGTCTTGCTCCTCCGGCTACCGGCTGGGATACACTTCCTCCTGCAGCAGACACAACCCTTGAGGCAGATATCGTTCGTATCAAGTGCTACAGAAACACAGTTTATGGTCATGCCAGCGAGGCCTCAGTTGATGACGCAACATTCAATCAATACTGGCAGGACATCCAAGATGCATTGGTGAGACTGGGAGGAGCTGGTTACCAAAGTGCTATTGATGATCTGAAAAAGGAATGCATGGACCCTGATTTCGAAGAACACTATAAAGAGCTTCTTAAACAGTGGGTAGTGGATGAAGTCAGCATCAAAGAAAGATTGGATGAAATGACAGAGCTATTAAAGGAAGCAATCGCTAATCCTCCAAAAAAGTTTAAAGCAGGAGACAAAGGTATTGTGTATTAACGGTAAAATCTGTACATGGCCTTTTGATCTTTCTTGAGAAAAGAAGAAGATTAAAGGGCCTCTCATCAGAGGGTAATAAGCAATTTAGCAATCAGTTCATTTCAGTATTATAAAATGCCCACCTTTAAAAATAGCTCAAACTCGGAGAAATATCTTCCACTGGAACTGACCCCTTCCTCTTGGACCCAAAATTGGAAAAAGACCAGGTGTTGTCTTTTCCATGCTTTTTTCGGGTGATGAGCAAGTAATTTCTTTATTTTTTTGTTCCTCATGCGGGAAGTTAAGAGAATTAATAGTTGAAACAGATTCACTACAAAGGTGATTTGCACCAAAAAACTGCAGTTAAGTCTTACAGTATTTACCTGGTCGGGTTCGTCGAAAGAAAGAGATGGAAAAAAACTAAAATTCTTAATGAACTGGAGATGACAGGACGCTTTCTCTCCCCTAAGTGTACTTAGGCCATTCTTAATCTCCAGCCGTAAAAACAAAAACCATGTGTTTTCTGAGTCAAAGTTAGTTTCTCCCGTACCACAAATTCCTGGATCCGCTCCCGAAAAGGGTCGGTTAGTGTTGGTAATCACATGATTTCGAGTACAATTTACGATAAAACAGCACGAGTAAATATTTGAAATTGCGAGTACAATTTGTAGTTATTGAAAAATTAACAAATGCTGATTTATCCCGAATTGCGCCAGAAAAATCATGCGATTACTTGTTAATAATGTACCACCAAAATATGGCTCTGTTTTTTTTTCGTGTCATGGCTCACTGGTTCGGCCGCTTCCCCTTGCCTTGTGCTGGAGTAGTCGAGGTTTTCCCAAGAATTTGGTTCGAGCTTTTAAACTCACCGTCACGAACAATCGGGTTTTTGTACTCTTTGTCAATTAGGTATCGGTCGACAGCAATAATCAGAACACGAAAGATATCACGCTCGTTATCTTCCCCGTCTTTCTTACGAACTGATGCGTAAAATTCCTCGAGAAGTTTGTTCAGCGTCCCCGATTCATATTTTCCAACGCCCAAAACTTTCAGACTTTTGGCCAGTTGTTTGTGCTTTGTTTTGTATTTTTATTTTTGGCATTCTCCATAAAACTCTGAATTTAAAAGGTTGTTACCTTCTCCTAACCTCTCCGCCATTTTGTTTTTAGTTGCGCTTTCGTGACTCTCTTGGCAATCAAATTATTTTCATCTTTCTACAATCATTTTCAACCTTTTGCCCTCAATCTCAACTTTGCGCACTCTTTGGGATTAATTGACGTGTTCTCAGCCAATAAGCGTTCTGAAATGTTTGCATGCATCTTATTAAAAATGAAATAATTTAACCTTTACACCAACCTCTTGCTACGCTTTTCTAATTGCTCGGTCAGAATTTGATGTCAATTAATTGCGAACGGATTCAAGATTAACTTGCACTTTTTGGAAAGCCTAATTAAAGCAAAACTCAGCTAGCGTGATAACCAATCGCGTTACAAGTCAGGCAGTTCAATGACTTTTCGTCGAGCATTGGAAAAGTAAATACATGAAGGGTTTATGAAAATAAATGCAAGTAATGATTTTCTTTACAGCTGTAGCAGAATACTCTGATGCGTTGAAAGAATCAATAAAAAGCCAAACCGAGTACCTCGCTCAGGCCTCACCGACCATGTCCAATGTGAGAACAGATGACATATTCACCAACATTCTCATGCAACATGGAAGAAAACCAGTCGAAGATCTTGATGTGAAAAGAAAAGAACGCCTTCGCCAGTACGGTCAAATCAGTGGAAAGCAAATTAAAA